TTAACAGATTAATCGCATATTTTCGTTTGCTGCATGCTTTTAAAAACACGGGAAAATTTTTTTTTTTTTTTTTTTTTTTTGAGGATATGATCAGAAATCATATGGACAGAAAATTAACTCTCATAGTTCCACTTTTGTCATTTGTTTCTGAAATGTCATTTCATTTTAACCAATACATGATAAACACTCAAATATGGAAAAAGCATAAAAAAACAGCTAAAAATGCCTATGTAGGAAACTGTTTGCCTGGGAAAATAGTTAATATAGTTTAATGGTCATTAAACCAAATATTTGACCACAGAATGCCACGATTGTTCAATCTAGTGTCCAGAGAGCTGCCTTTTCCCTCTCAAAAGATAATTTTTTTTCCCCACTAGAAGCTCACAAACACTTTCTTTGTTTTCTGTCCTTAAATCCTCCTGAAAACGCACACTCATACTGGCCATGTGTGTATGTGTGTGTGAATAGTTCATTTAGAATAGAGACATAAAGATGTGCATACGCTGATATCCATGCAAAGTCAAAGTCTCTTACTCTCTATACAGAACTGGAGGAGTCAATGACCAAATTGTGCAAACGGCCTACTTTCTGGAGGCTCATAAATGTCAACTCAGCTGTTATGAAATGGATGAGTGATGCTTCAGCCTGTGCCTGAGGTGTAGGGACACAACTCGCATCTCTGTCAGTATACCTAATGAGACACCTTTATAGAGATGCAAGCAGATACAAATAACAAGCACATGCATATCATTTTATTACATACCTCTCTTTGATACTGGATTCTTGATTTGATTAGTGAACTAGAAATAGTACAGAATGCTAATTTTTTTTCCACTGTACTATTCTTTGTTTATAATTTTTGTTAAAATATTCTGTTAATTACCATATTTAAATGAATAAAAATACACTACATTTTCAATGTGTTGTCACACACACATAACGGTGGTTTATGTGAATGTGTGTTGCATACATAGGACATCACTTATGCACTGACAGCCAAATCCAGCAAAAACACTCTCTGTGGAACAGAGTTGGCACTGCCTGTTCTCCATTCGTTCTGAAATCACTGCATGCAGCCAAACATCGTTTTTCTGTTTGTTTGTTTTTCTCTCTTTTATTTTATTTAATGGTTGGCTGCACAAGGGTACACATAATCTGACTCCAAAGTAAATTTTTTATGTGAATTGAGGACAAATGGCTCCTTTTAGAATATTCTGAGATTTCATGGAATTTGCTGGCAATGTACCTATTAGAAGATACTGAGAGCCATAATTCAATGCCAGGTATCAAAACTATAAGAAAGGCAGGCATCTTACAGAATCTAAGTTTAAAAAAAAGGTTCATGTACATTTTAAAGAGGAAAGATTAACTATAAAAGGAAATTGTTAAATAGTATAGGAAAAAAGTAACATGATGCATAGAAATTTTAGAATAATTGCCTTAATCTTTTTTATTGCATTTCTGAAATATCTCAATAAATATCTAAATAAATATGTTAAACAGGTTTCAGTTGAATGAATAAAGTGTAGCATGCTTACAAAAGCTAGATGTTTTCTCATTTTTCCTCAAGTCAATTATTCACATATAAAGTGGCTGAACAAGTCATTTTGCATTTAATGAATAATCATTCAAAAGAAATAATCAAATGTATTAAATTTAATTACATTCAACAGTGTATACAGTGTATCTTTCCGTTTCTCTCTACTTACAGTAAATTAATTCTGGATTAAATGAAACCCATAGCCTATGCCGACACTCAGCATTGCAGCATAATATATTAACAAGCTCTTTAATTTTTATTCATTTACATTTTGTCTGATTTATGTGTTGTTTTATGTGTTGTTACTTTTAGTACCTAGTTCTTTTTACTTAAAAACAGTTTGTTGACTTTCACCATTGCTGACCTAAACTACAACAGTATTGCATCTCACTATAGTCCTTCTAAACCATAATGAAATAATTTCTGCTGCAATATAATCTGACTGATTCATATGTCCTCGTCAACAGAATATGTAATACATTTTAAATTTAGGATGAGTTATGATAAATTCTACTCTAAATCACCACAATGTAAAATCAACATCAATGCTCTGGCATTCACTGGCATGTCAAATTTGACCTCTTCCTATGAACTCAAATAACAAGTTCAGTAAACATATTTTAAAACGTGTCAAGGAACAATTGCACATTAAAAAGAATGGGTGTGGGTAATGTCAACAGAGCAGAAAAAAATTAAGTTAATAGGTTAACAGTGCATTATCTTTTACAGTGCAATGAATTCGTCAGAGAAATTAAATATTTCCTTTCAGCAAATTATTTATTAGCAAACAAGAAATTTTTATTTGGCACAATTTCATTTGTACTTATTGTTGATATGAAGTGAATTGTGTAATCGTTGCCTCTGGCTAAGCAGAGACATTGGATTTGTGTAATAGTTTAAAATCACTTCAGTAAAAAAAGATGAGCTCCTAATATCACACAGCAAGTAACAACAACAAAAAGGGCATAAATTAAGTCACACAATAATCCCAAAAGGTTAAGGTTAAACCTGACTGACAGTGGTAACAAAAGCAAATGTGGGCTAAAAATACATTTGCTGAAGCAACTATGTAATTTTAGCTTGCTTGTATGAGGCTTTGAGCTCTTTTGTTGAGTGTTGTGACTCATGTTTCACAGGACTCGTACCAGGTGAGCCATCAAGCAAGTTTACTATGTCAAAAAAGCCATCCATATGGTCAGTACTGGGTATTAAATGATTACATGTAATTGTAG